AGAAAACTGCCTCATCCAGAGGACTCATGGGTCTGTCGTGGTGGATTCTGGACAGTCTCACAGCGTTTTCTTTGTAGCTGTGAATGTAAAAAGTAACAATGTGTAGACTTATGATATGAACATAAAAATAGACATCAAAAAATTAGTTTTGTGTAGTCTTTATAGAAATGATGCATGAGTCTGGTTCTCATTGCRGGTGTCACATAAAATTCTGCAACCACAAGATAAACATGGACATGACAGAGGCTTTAAAGAGTTCTGTATGTTTTAATTACTATGATTTTCTTATCTGTATTGTTTTTAACACATTTAGAGGAACTGAAATACAGATAGTCTAATAATATGATAGTGATAACCAGAAGGTATGAGCACATTGTAGCAAAAGAGCGTGAATCTTAAACCAAACTGTTTCTAATGACTCATTAGTGCCCCCTGTTAGTAAAAAAGTCARATTTGACCAGATCTGGGCTGGACACCAGAACTGTTTGTGACAATCTTCTGTCATTGTTATGCATTTAGATATAATCAGCATTGATGACTATGGATAGGAAGATATATCCTAGTAAAACAGAAACAAAGACATCCCTGTTCTTTTAAAACACCACTTCTATAAGGCCAATGTTAATCTAATAAATTATTATAGAGGYTGCCTTTTAAATAAAAACATTCACATATATAACACAAAAAATGTTTAATTCACTTCTGACCATTTATACTGTGGCATTATTACAAAAGTAAATCATGTTTATAAACTTTTTATAAAGCCAAGAAGAAATGTTTCACAAGTTTTGGGGCATAGATTTAGAGGAACTTACGATTTATCATTGATGACAGTGTTGYTTGCATTTCTGAGGTCCTCAGTTGTTACAGACTTAAAGTCAAGGTTAACTGCAACTCCTTTGGCCTCCATGTGCACCATGTTGTCTGGRTGGTCAGCAAACATGGGGATTCCCACCATGGGAACACCGTAGTAGATGGCCTCATAAACCCCATTTGCACCACCATGAGTAATAAAAGCTCTYGTTTTAGGGTGACCTGATGTGAGAAAAAGTTATAAAATATTCATGACTTGTTTCATAAATTGTTTTTATAAAGTATTTTTCTTTTTTCACATTTTAATTACAGTATAAAGATATGACCTCTCATTATGAGCAGCTATTAGAGCCCCACATTCACTTCCAGCATCATGTGTGGAACCTTCTTGGACTGATGGTTTGTTGGGCATTTATGAAAGTTAAGATTTCCATTCCCCTGCTGATGTTCAGATTGCACTTAGCTGCAGATGGACTCAAGGAGCTGACATTTCATTTGTGTTGTCTTTTCCTGCTTTTTTCCCACCGTTATCYTTTTTAATACGGATCAAATTCTTATCATATTTTCAAGTAAAATTTAAACTAATTTACTTGTACAATGCTCATTTCACCGCAAAGCTCTTTTCAGTATGAGCTTACCAACTCCACTAAATCCCCACAACTGATTGATTACAGCAAGAATATTATTTTTTTCAACTTAGAGGTTGTCAATTTTTTTATTGTTCTTTTCAATTGATGTTGAATTCTATAATCTTATTTTTACTCACCCAGTAGGTCATTCTGTGGAATCCAGTCATAAAGTTTAGTGTTTGAACCTAAAGTGTCTGGTTTCTTCCCTTTGTATCTCCACAGCACCTACAAGAAAAGAAAATAATGAAATGTAAAATTGTCAATTTGAGTTTGAAAGTGTCAAACTAATTTAGACATATTTTAGCCGATGTAAACAAACATTTATATTAAAAAAGATCTGACCTTTTGTGGAATCTGTGCGAGAGCTGACGCTATAATGTTTGCTTTTTCTGTGGTGACGTTTTTGACCATTGATCCCAAAGAGAAGATCACGATGCCATCATCTCCAGAGCTTTGGACAAATTCTTCCATATCCTGCAAGAACAAGACAAATCAAAACGGATTTKTTTTTGTTTGCTAATTCTTTGCATATACATATGAATTTTTTTAACAATTTGTTTACCTACATTTTAGTGTGTAATAGTGAATAAAACCCCACCTTTGGTAAAGGTTTAGCAGGTCTGCCATGGATCCCTCCAACAAATTTAAAATTAGGGAGGAATGGACGAGGGAAATCAAAATCCCAGTAGGTTCTCATCAGCCAGATGTCTGTTTTGCCCATCAACTCACAGCTACTGGTGGGTGTTCCTGTTACAATGAACATACATTAGATATAGAAGTCTTTATGAACAGACATGGTGTGTTTCAATCATTCTGATACCATAATTGGCCCTAACAACATTTATAAAGTGTTTTAATGCACAGGAACCTTCCTTGAGTTTCTCACCTTTGACTTCTGCGTAATATTTATCCAGCTCTTTCCACTTAAACTGTTCCGCTAAAATATCCAGTAGAGCGTAGAAGAGGACGTTAAAAACTCTCTGTGAGAAGTTCATCTTGTCTGTCAGTTTACTCATAGCAGCTGGGACAAAGGAAGGTGGAGCAGGCATCTGACCACACAGTCTCTCCCAGTTATGAGCTATAGTAAAACGCAAAGAAAAAATCAGAGGAATCCCCAAAATGTCTGCAGTTAATTCACTCCCAGGGTGTGTAGGATCAGCCAGGAGTAAATCATAGTTTCCTTCCTTCAGCTTCTTCATGATGGTTTCTGATTTCACCACACCGTCCAAAAGAGTAAGAGTAACTTGCACATTTTTTTTTAATATTTCTGTAAATTTGACGTAAAGTTGAATGTAGTTTAATTGTTCCATCTCATAAATAATAAAGTGAAGGAACTCTTGAAAATGCTTTTTCATAGACTCCACGGAGATAGTAACGTTAAAAGGTTCGTACTGAAAGCCAGAGGGTTCACTGCTGTTCATAAACAACGATGAGCTCGGGACCAGGACCGTCACCTGGTGTCCTCTGTCC